TAGGTTGTTAGTGGTAGATAGACAGACAGACGGAAGATAGATACAGATAGACAGACAGACAGACAGACAAGGTAAGTAGGTGGGAAGAGAGAGATAGGCACAGAGCAGATAGAGATAATATAGATGATTAATATAATAGATTGGATATAGATAAATATATAGATATATAAATAATAGAGATAGATATAAATATGTCATTGATATAGATACATGATTAATAGATGATTGATAGAAATTGAGAGAGGGGAGGGATGATTAGAGAAATAGATGAGAGGGAGAGGGAAGAAGAAAGAGAAGAGAAAGGAAAGCTATCCTTCCAAAGACACTTCTGTGGTCATATAGCCACCATGACATATGCCGAGGGGCAAGGAATGCTGTTACCTTCCCACTGAAGTGGTACCTATTTATCTACTTGATTTGCATGCTTTCGAACTGTTTAGATGGTCAGGAGCTGGAGCAAGAACAGAAGCTACCCCATCATGCAGCGCTCGGTCTCAAACCCCGGGCGGTCAGCTTTTCCAGCTGACAATCTCAACAACCTTTAACTGCTGAGTCATTGCACCTTCTCTGACAATTACGCTTTAAGAAACAGGAGGACAAACAACACTACACAGAGCAGCGACAACCACAACACCACCAATAGTGCTGGGAGGGAGCACAAGATACTGGGGTGTTGTGACCCAGGCCCAAGTAAGTAGTAGAAAATCAGTCAGTGAAAAAACAAACTTTATTCGAACAGCTGAGAATTACTTCATTCCCAGCGTCGTTCAACTAAATTAAAGCAAATTCCTCCCAGCACAAATTCCTCAGTCCTATCGCAAACCTTGGTCTAATTAGGCAAACTGCCAAAGGCCTTTCTTGGCAAATGTTCAGAAGTCACAGATACAAAAATAAATACAAGACATAGACGAAGAAGAAGACGAAGCTACCAACGTTGTTTTCGCAAAGCCCAAACTTCGTTGCTGGTCTGTTTTAAGCCTTATGGGAGGGGCCAATCATCTCTGGCCCTACTCCCGAGTTGTCCTTTTTGCTTTAGTTGCTCTTGCCTTCTGGCAGCTCTTCTCATGCGTGCACTAGGAGGCTCCTCCTGTTCCTCTGCCTCTCTACTGTCACCTCTGGAGGCTCCGAAGTCCGCACATCATCCCCGATGGCCCTGGCCCCATCTCTGCCTCCGACGCAGAGCCCTCATCCGGCCTTCCCAGCCTCCAGGACTGGCCCCTGTTCTTCCTCAGCCTCATCGCTGTCCGACTCCGCTGCCAGCTCCGCAGGCTGCTGGCGGACCACAACACGGGGCTCCGATGGTATTGCAGGAGATCCACGAGGAACAGGAGTTTCCAAAGGGAAAAATACATAATTGCCGGAAAGCAACTGGCACAAAGCCAGAAGGAAAACTCATCGAAATTAAAACCCGAGAGGTTGCAAGGGGTGAGTGGATAGCATCGACGGTTGGAAGGGCTTCCATTCTGAGATTACAATCTGGATTTATGACTGGCAAAGCCACGAGGAGCTTCAGCCAGGTTCAAGCCAGCAGGATGTACCCTGATGGTCTTCAGGCCGTTGTCCAGTCTACAGAAAGCCAAGGAAAAAAATATTGAGGTCAGTGACTAACTTGTGCTACTCTTATTTGGTTCATCTGCTTGGGTTGTCTTGCTTTAATGATTCAGCTTCCATAAGCGCTGCCTTTTCAAGGACCTGTTGAGCAGCCTTAAACCAGTTCTGCTCTAGAGGAGAAGTGTCAGTTCTCCTGGGTAGGCCAGAAAAAGAGACAACAAGAAGAACAAATTTTGCTTGATTTACTGGATTGTAAAGATACATTTACAGAGATGCGGTGGCTCAGTGGCTAAGATGCTGAGCTTGTTGATTGAAAGGTCGGCAGTTCAGCGATTCGAATCCCTAGTGCCGCGTAATGGGGTGAGCTCCCGTGACTTGTCCCAGCTTCTGCCAACCTAGCAGTTCGAAAGCCTTGTAAAAAATGCAAGTAAAAAAAATAGGACAACCTTTGGTGGGAAGTAACAGCATTCGTGCGCCTTTGGTGTTGAGTCATGCCGGCCACATGACCACGGAGACGTCTTCGACAGCGCTGGCTCTTCGGCTTTGAAACGGAGATGAGCACCGCCCCCTAGAGTCAGGAACAACTAGCACATATGTGCGAGGGGAACCTTTACCTTTTAAAGATACATTAGAGGCATGATGGCTCAGAGTTAAAGAGGCTGAGTTTGTCAGTTGGAAAGCTGACAGCCTGGGTTCGAGACCCTGAGCACCATGCGACGGGGTGAGCTCCCATCCTCATCTCAGCTCCTGCCCACCTAGCAGTTCAAAAGCATGGAAATGCAAGTAGATAAATAGGTACCACTGCATTCTGTGTGCCTTTGGCATATAGTCATGCTGGCCATGTGAGCACGGAATTGTCTTTGGGACAACGGTGGCTCCTCTAGCTAAGAAACGAAGGTGAGCATTGCCCCCTAGAGTTGGAAACTACTGGTTAGGAGAAACTTTTACCTTTGAAGCTACACGAACAGAATCATGCAAATCTGAAAACCCAAACTTTCCACCTACCCCCCTTTGTACACCTTGGGGGTACTCTCATCCATGGGGGCAACTCAGTGGTGAAATCCAAATTTTTTTACTACCAGTTCTGTGGGTGTGGCTTGGTGGGCGTGGCAGGGGAAGGATACTGCGAAATCTCCATTCCCACCCCACTCGGGGCCAGCCAGAGATGGTATTTCCCGGTTCTCTGAACTACTCAAAATTTCCGCTACTGGTTCTCCAGAACCTGTCAGAACCTGCTGGATTTCACCCCTGGGGCAATTCCTTTTGAACTTTCTTTTTCTGACCATTAAGCCACTGGGGGCGCCTGTCTCTCTCTTCTCTGATGGTTTCCTAGGCAGCCTCTCTGTCCCCTTTTTCTCCCCCACCCCCAAACCGTTCACACATTACAGAAAGTGATGGGCATTGCTGAGAACTAAATCTGGGAATGCTCTCAGGTCCAGTCAGTATTAACTGGGGCCACCAGAAGGGGAGAGGGAGCAGGTGGGGCGGAGTGGGGGTGGGGGAGAAGGAGGAATAGCAACCCAGCTTCGGGATGGGAGCAGGAGATAAACGGTTGAGAGGGGTTTTTGTGGGAGAAAAGTGGGTTTCCCAGTCTCCATTCTCAGCTGTCCCAGACCTGCAAAAAGCTAAGCTCTTTCAGTCTCCTGATTTTGGGCTAAAGGCAAATGGAGACCAGCTATTTCCCCTTGAAGAGAGCAAACATTTTTTATTTTTTTTTGCAGTGGTGAAATCCAATTTTTTTTTACTACCGGTTCTGTGGGTGTGGCTTGGTGGGCGTGGCAGGGGAAGGATACTGACTCCAAACTCCACATTCCCTCCCCACTCCTGAGGGGAAGGATATTGCAAAATCCCCATTCCCACCCCACTCTGGGGCCAACCAGAGGTGGTATTTGCCGGTTTCTCTGAACTACTCAAAATTTCCGCTACCGGTTCTCCAGAACCTGCTGGATTTCACCCCTGATTTTTTTTGAGAAAGTGGAACCAAGGCAGCGTTAAAAGGGCATGCAGATGGCTTCTGCTGCATCCAGCAGGGAGAGCCTGTGAAGGACCCCCGCTCTGTTCTTTCAAGGGGTGGGGGGGCATTTTCTGGCCTTTGGCTTCCATCCAGGGGAGGGAGGCTATCCCGGATGAAGAGTGCCTTTCCCTTCACTTGGGGGGTGGGCGTGTGGTGGCGGCGGAGGGCTCTTCCTTGTCCGTTGGTGCAATCCCTAGGCGAGGAGGGGGGTCCTTCAGAGGCTCACTCTATTAACTCGCTTACTACGCCGCTCCAGGTCCGCAGTCAGGACAGCGGCGTTGGTCACAATCGTACCAACGGCGACAAGACCGTCCGGCTAAGGCGGGGGGGGGGGGGAAGGGGGGGGGGGGCGCCACAGGCTCCCATTCGGGCCGGGAAGGCCCTTCCGAGCTCCACTTCCAGAGCTCTCCAGCTGCTCGGGGGCCGCTTCAGGGAAAGGTCCCGGGGTTGGGCGGAGGGTCTCCGATGGGGACAGTCTCGCCGGGGAGGCGGACGGGACAGGCCCGGGAGTCGGGGTGGGAGCCTCCTCTGATTTAGGAGCGCGGCTCCAGTCCGCAGCAGGGAGGCGGGAGCCGCAGCCGGGCTGACCTAGAAAGCTTCCCCATCTCCACCGCGCCTTTCGCGGGACAGCAGTCCGGCGGGGCCAAGGAGCCAGAGGAGGTGGGTGGGTGTGTGGGGGGGAGAGAGACGAGGAGGAAGGCGAGCAGGCGAGGACTCCCGGCCTCGGCTCAGTTCAGCTGGGCTGGGATCCCCTCCGCAGGGGGCGGCCTGGGACAACTCATCCCGAGCGCCAGCGACCTTGCGGGGGGAAACAGCGGAGGGAGAGGCGGGCGGGGGGGAGGAAGAGGAGGAGAAGGAGGAAGAGGAGGTAGAGAAGGAGGAGGAAGAAGAAGAGGAAGAGAAGGAGGAGGAAGAGGAGGTAGAAAAGGAGGAGGAGGAGGAGAAGGAGGAAGAGGAGGAGGAGGAAGAGGAGGTAGAGCAGAAGGAGGAGGAGGAGAAGGACGAAGACGAAGAGGAGGAGGAAGAGGAGGTAGAGAAGGAGGAGGAGGAGAAGGAGAAGGAGGAGGAGGAAGAGAAGGAGGAGGTAGAGGAGGAGGAGGAGAAGGAGAAGGAGGAAGAGGAGGTAGAGAAGAAGGAGGAGGAGGAGGAGGAGGAGGAGAAGGAGGAAGACGAAGAGGAGGAGGAGGAGAAGGAAGAAGAGGAAGAGAAGGAAGAGAAGAAGGAGGAGGAGGAAAGGAGGAGGAGGAAAGGAGGAAGAGGAAGAGGAGGAGGAGGAACAGGAGGTAGAGAAGAAGGAGAAGGAGAAGGAAGAAGACGAAGAGGAGGAGGAGGAGAAGGAGGAGGAGGAGGAAAGGAGGAAGAGGAAGAGAAGGAGGAGGAAAGGAGGAGGAGAAAGAGGAGGAGGCGGCGGCTCGCGGCGCTGGCTCGGCTGGCTCAGAGCGGAGCCGCTCGCTGGGCGCCGTCTGCGGGCACGGGAAAGGGACGCTCTTATGGGCATGAAACATTCGTCCCGCTGCCTGCTCCTCCGGAGGAAAATGGCGGAGAACGCCACCGAGAACGCCGAGGTAGGTAGCCAGCGGCGCCGCTTGGCCGTTTCTTCGCTCCCGGCTGCGGAGAGCCCGAGGCACCGCCGGGGAAGCCGCCGGCAAAGCGGCCAAAATCCGGCGTCTCGTCTCGTCTAGTCCCGGGCCGGCCTCGGTATCCGGCGGCGGAGCTGTCCAGGGTGCTGAACCCAGAAGGACGCCTCTTGAATCCGAGCGCTGACTCGTATCTCTCTCTGTGTGTATGTGTGTATGCGTGTGCGCGTGTCTTCTCTACCCCGCTGGATCCCACCTTTCGTAGCCCTTCCCGAAACTTAGCACCGGGGTTCAAGGAGTTTCTCTTGCCCTGCTTGTGGAGCGCGTTGCTTTGCCTTCTTCTTCTCCCGGCACGGTGGCCTTGCCTGCTTCTCCCTCCCCACGACTTCAATGCAGGAAAGCTTTCTGAACTCCCGTGAACTGAGGAAATGGGAGCAGAAGCATCTGGAGAAGCTAATTGAAGCAATACATCAAAAAAAAAAGGGAAGAGAGGTGCTAATGGCTGCGAGGCAGTGGCTGTAGTAGAGGGAAGTTAAAAATAGCACCGGCGAGGCAGGTGGTGGCACATCTGTAATCCTTCGAGAGAGAGAGAGAGAGAGAGAGAGAGAGAGAGAGAGAGAGAGAGAGAGAGAGAGAGAGAGAGAGAGAGAGAGAGAGAGAGAGAGAGAGAGCAGCGGTGGAAGAAATGTCATTGAGGTCTCGCGGTTCTGCAGGGATTTATTTGGTACACCGGGGTCTGCGGGGCTGGGGGTGGGGGGCGAACCCCCTTTCCCCTAGCAGAAACGTATTGGTGGTTTTAATAAGATTGTCAGTTGGATGATGTATCGTGCCCCGATTCTTGGGTTTCGCTACTCTTTGACTGGGAAGAATGATGCAAAGGAATATAATCTGCAACAGCTGGAGTGAAGTCTAGCCAATGTTGCACGCAAAGCTCTCAGTCTTGTGGCCGAGATCCTGTTGGGAATATGTTATTGCTCTTCCCCAAGCCAAAGGAAAACACACAATTTGTAATCCTTATAAAGGTGACCCGGGGTGAATGCTTTTCTCATCCCCCCCCACACTTAACATCTTTGTGATTCTTCCGCTGCTTCTTAACCCACACAAAACTTCCACTTCAGAAACGGAGATGCCATCCAGAAAGAAGGTATCTTTGATCTAACCGAAGCATAAAGGCACTGCCATCCGATCTATCTCGGATTTCACACGTGGCTACCAACTGTAGGTGGAAAATTGGGATTAAGGCGATTTTTAGGGGGCAAGGATTGCAGGTGATTTTTTTTTTTTTAATGCGTGCTTTTTTTTAAAAAAAAAAAGAAAAATCATCTCTTTGGGTTATTATTAGAGCTCAGTTCAAATGTCAATGCCAATGCGGATTGTGACTGTAACGAAAAGAATCCCATCGTCTTGGGCCAAGAATTGCCCCGAATGTAACAAAGTACGTGCCCCCCCCCGCTCTCCAAATTTAGCTCTTCTGTCTGCAGCCTTTCTGATTATAGATCTTGATTCTCTTAAGATTTGTCTGAACCAGAAACGGATACCAGCTCTTTAGCAGCCATGAATCAAATTGTTGTTCGGTTTTGAACTCACTGTGAATCCTTTTTGATTGAATTCTGGTATCTTGAGAGCAGGGGTGGGTTCTACTTACCTTTACTACCGGTTCGCAATGAGGCCGCGCACTCTTCTGCACAAGCGCAGAAGCATTTTGATGACGTCGGGAGTTGGTGGACGAAGCCTCCCGCCGGTTTTACTACCGGTTTTATAGAACCGGTGCGAACCGTGGCCAACCCACCACTGCTTGAGAGGAGAAAGAACATTTTATTCTGGTTACGTTTTCTGAACCGTTACTTTCTGAATGCAGCACGGTCATAAATAGGAAGCCAGGAATTAAATACGTTTGCCTTGAAAATGAGTTAAGGGGGCATAAACTGGACTTTGGTGTTTTTTGGGGTTTGTTTTTTTTTACAACTGCTCCTTCATGTGATAGAAATTATAGCTCTATATTTTGAAAGAGTTCCTTTTATAGCAGAAGTGGTATTCAGCCGGTTCGGAACAGTTTGTGCGAACTGGTAGCGGCGACTGCCTACCTACCCCAGCATAAAGATGTTCTATTTAGCCATGTTTTCGAGGCTGGGCACATGTGTGCAAGGCGCGTGCATGAGCGAGCAAAGTGGCATGTGTGGAAGGCCGGGCGCATGCACAGAAGGAGTGCTCATGCATGAAGTGAGCGTGCACATGTGCGCGGGGCGAACCGGTGGTAAGCATTTCCAAAATGCACCGCTGTTCTGTAGCAAGGGTCCTCAACCCTCAGGCCAGGGACCGGTCCTGGTCCATGGCCTGTTAGTAAGTGGGCTGCACACCTGATCAGCTGGCGGGCGAGCAAAGCGTCATCTGTATTTGCAGATGTTTCACAGCACTACTAGCATCACAGCTTTTCAGCTCCACCTCAGATCATCCGGTATCAGATTCTCATAGGAGTATTTATTTATTTATTTATTTATTATTCAAATTTCTATACCGCCCTTCTCCTTTCGGACTCAGGGCGGTGAACAGCCAAGATAAAAACATCTATACAAACATCACAGTTAAAAATAAAGTTAAAATAATTTATAAATTTGGCCCATAATTTAAAACTTGTCAATTAAAATCAATATAAAAAATTTAAAACTAACCCTAAAATCAAGACAGACCGGCTAACTGAAAAAAATAAGTTTTTAGGGCCCGACGAAAAATCCGGAGGTCGGAGATCACTCGTATCTCTGGGGGTAGATTGTTCCATAGGGTAGGTGCCACCACAGAGAAGGCTCTCCTCCTGGGGATCGTCAGCCGGCATTGTCTGGCCGATGGCACCCTGAGGAGGCCCTCTCTGTGGGAGCGAACCGGCTGGTGGGAGGCTATTGGTGGCAGAAGACGGTCCCGTAAGTACCCTGGCCCTAAGCCATGGAGCGCTTTAAAGGTGATCACCAACACCTTGAAGCGCACCCGGAAGTCCACCGGAAGCCAATGCAACTCGCGCAGGAGAGGAGTCACATGGGAGCGCCCCGTCGGTCCCATAATCCCCCGCGCAGCCGCATTCTGCACCAGTTGGAGCCTCCGGGTGCACCCCAAGGGGAGCCCCATGTAGAGAGTGTTACAATAGTCCAGACGAGAAGTGACGAGTGCTTGAGTGACCATGCGTAGGGAGTCCCGGTCCAGAAAGGGGCTCAACTGGCGTATCAGGCGAACCTGACAAAAAGCTCACCTGGCCACAGCTGTCAGTATGAACCCCACCCTTACCCCGTAAACTGGGCATGCACGGTCCTCCTCCCCCACTCCCATGGTCTGTGGAAAAATTGTCTTCCACGAAACCGGTCCCCGGTGCCCCCAAAAAGTTGGGGACTGCTGGCCTGTAGGATACTCAGAAGGGAAGGAGGAGCAGCTGGAAAGCTACAGACCATCTGACCATGGGGTGTTGAACTCAAGGACCACAGGGTGCTTAGATCTGGCTCTCAGGGCCAGCCTGGAACCAGCAAAGGACTGGCCTGCAGTGTCTCTGCCAGTGAAAATGGAGCTCGGGCAGAGGTGGAATTCACTTACCTTCCCTATCGGTTCGCAAATGTGAGTGTGCAAGCGCCACCTTCCACACATGCTCAGACTTCCACGCATGTTCTTTGTTTGCATGTGTGCCTCCTGTGCATGCACACAGCCTCCAAAGCATGGCTAAATAGGACGGCATTATGTCTGAGCTGGTGGGCGTGGCTTTCCACAGTCGGCACTACCGGTTCGTCTGAATCGGACAGAACCGGCTGAATCCCACCACTGAGGAAGGAAGGACAGGAGGGAGGGAGAGAGGAAGGAAGGAGATTATAATGAGAGTGAGGGAGGGTTTCAGAGAAGTCCTGCCTTAGTACTTGACCACCACAGGTGCCCACCCCGCCCCCGAGCTGGGCATGCCCACCATGGACATGCCGCCACCCCCCCAGCCCTCCGAGGTCAAATGTAACCCTGATGCGGCCCTCAATGAAATCGAGTTTGACATTCCCTGATCTAGTATTAGCAAGTTACAAGATAGAGCAAGTTGCCAAGCAGGGGATACTGAGAAGATACTACTGTAGCCAGGATGAGTTTGTCGAGAATACCTTGTGTCTTCCTAATATGACCTCTTTTTTGGTCCCGTGTGTTTAGACTGGGTTAACCAATGGAAAGCTGTGGATAAATATATATTTTGATTGCAGAGAAGCATTTGAGGGCATCTCTCGTGACATCCTTCTGGGACAGGGGGCTAAATATGAGCCCGAAGGTACAGCGCGGAGTAAATTCGCAACTGGTTGAACAATCGCACCCAAAGTCGGTAGAGATTCTCAGTCGTTCTTCAGGTCAGGGTTGTCCTAAAGGTGCTTTTTTTCAGGAGGCAACTGGACTTCCTTGTTTGTTTGTTTTTTTGAAGATGTTTCGCTTCTCATCCAAGAAGCTTCTTCGGCTCTGACTGGATGATGGGGGAAGGGAAGGATTTATACTCCTTGCGGACAGCTGGTCATTTGCATTGTTTTAGCAAGTCGTTGAGGTCACCTGGAGGTTGATCTGTGTCCTGTGTCCTGTTGGAGGAGATGCGTGGGAGGGTGGGAAGACCTAGGATTCTAAAAGTTAGTCTAGCCTAACTTTCTCCCTCTTTTTAAACATTTTTAATATTTCTTAATATTTTTTTAGTATTTTTAATATTCAAAGTTTACATTTGTTTTAAATCGATTGGGGTTTTAAATCTGTCTGGGCCAAACTATTTAATTTGATTTTATCTCTGCTTTTTAAATTTTGTATGTATGTATTTTTACGGAAGATCCCGGACCTGCGCACGTTTCGCCGTGCTCTCAAAACTTTTCTATTTCAGCAAGCTGGCCTGGCCTAACTCCCATCTTTTAAATTTTTAAATTTTTTAATTCGTGATTTTATAAATTGGGTGTTTTAATCTGTGTTTCGGCCGAAATATTTAATAATTTTAAGGGATTTTTTAAATA